TCTGTGTGGGCTTCCTCTGGACTCACTCCAACTGGGGACCCCAGAGCTGGACGCAGTACTCCAGGTGGGATCTCACAAGAGCGGAGTGGAGGGGCAGAATCACCTCCCTTGATATACTCGTCATAGCTCTCTTGATACAGCTGTCTTGATGCAGCTCACAACACAGTTGGCTTCCTGGGTTGCAAGTGCACATTGCCGGGTCATGTTGAGCTTTTCATCAATCAATACCCCCAAGTCCTCCTTCCCCGGGCTGCTCTCAATCCATTCTCCGCCCAGCCTGTAGTTGTGCTTGGGATTGCCCCCACCCATGTGCAGGACCTTGCACTTGGCCTTGTTGAACTTCACGCAGTGCGCGCAGGCCCACCTCTCCAGCCTGCCAAGGACCCTCTGGATAGCATCCCTTCCCTCCAGCGTGTAGACCACACCACACAACTTGGTGTCATTGGCAAACTTGCTGAGGGTGCACTCGATTCCGCTGTCCATGTCACTGACAAAGATGTTAAAGAGCACCAGTCCTGATACCAACCCCTGAGGAACACCACTCATCACTGGTCTCCACTTGAAAGTCAAGCTGTTGACCACAACTCTGAGTGCCACCATCCAGTCAATTCCTTTTCTACCAAGTGGTCCATCCTTCAAATCCTCCAATTGTCTCTCCAGTTTAGAGACTAGGATGTCATGTGGGACTTTGCACAAGGCGATGACCTTTGCATAGGTAGATCATGTCAGTCGCTATTCCCTTATCCACCAATGCAGTAATCCTATTGTGCAAGGCCATTAAATTTGTCAGTGGGAACTTCACTATACTGCCATGACCTCTCAAATATGATGGATAGTGGCTTTAGCAACTTCATCTGCCAGTTCCTCCAGGACCCGCAGGTGCTTCTCATCAGGTCCCAGAGACTTGTGTACCTTCAGGTTCCTTAGATAGTCTCAAACCTGATCTTCTCCTATAAGGGACAGTTCTTCATTCTCCCAGTCCCTGCCTTTGCCTTCTGTGACCTGGGCAGTGTGTCTGGAGCTGTTGCTGATGAAGACTGAGGCAAAAAAAGTCATTGAGTACCTCAGCCTTCTCCATATCCTGGTTAACCATGTCTCCCATTACCTTCCAGAGAGGGCCCACATTTTCCTTAGTCTTCCTTTTATTACAGATGTACCAAAAAAAGCTTTTCTTGTTGCCCTTGATGTCCCTGGCTAGATTTAATCCTATCAGGGCTTTGGCTTTCCTAACCTGAT